CCCTTTACTGTTCAAATGTGGGCTGTCACTGCAATACTCTTTGTTTTTGTTGGAGCTGTTGTTTGGATTCTTGAGCATCGGAGTAATGAAGAGTTTCGTGGTTCACCAAGGCAACAAATAATCACAGTATTTTGGTTAGTGTGCTTAAACTCATTACACACGCTTTAACTTTTCTGAGGCACCTGTTTTACCGCCCAAGCCCATCGCTAGTGGATATTGTTTATTTTGGGCTATCACTTATTGCCACCAACCTCATAGTTTTAAAACGTGTCAGGGAGAGATTTCTACACCCTTATAAGGAATGCTTTGTTTCCCTCACAATCCACATTGGTTGGAGAGGGGAACGAAGCATTCTTTATAAAGGTGTGAAAACTTGTCTCTAGTAGATGCGTTTTAAAAACCGTGAAGTTGACGACGATACGTAACGAGCTAAAGCGGACAATATCTACTAGCAGTGGGCTTTGGCTGATACAAATGGTATCAGAGCTAGACACTGGGCGGTGTACTAGTGAGGACGCAGGGCCCCCAAGGGGTGGATTGTGAGATCTCACATCGGTTGGAGAGGGGAACAAAACATTCCTTGTAAGGGTGTGGAAACCTCTCTCTAGTAGATGCATTTTAAAAACCGTGAGGCTAATGGCAATACGTAACGGGCCAAAGCAGACAATATCTGCGAGGATGCTGGACCCTCAAGGGGATGGATTGTGAGATCTCACATCGGTTGGAGAGGGGAACAAAACATTTCTTATAAGAGTGTGAAAACTTCTCTCTAGTAGACGCATTTCGACAGTACGTAAGGGGTCAAATTAGACAATACCTAATCGCGGTGGGAGCTTGCCATTTAGTTTAAGTCTTATGTATGGCTGAATCTTGCATTGTTGCTTCCTGACTTCTCTTACAAAATTAGAGCTCAACTGTGTCCTCCTTGCAGGTTTAGCTTCTCGACAATGTTCTTTTCTCACAGTAAGTTTCTTCAGCCCAAAAGCTCAAGTTTTCTTCATTGATCCTACTCTATATATGCTCAAAACCCAACCAATTTGTTGACTGTCTGTCTTGGTGCAGAGGAAAACACTGTAAGCACCCTTGGACGGTCGGTGCTTATAATATGGCTCTTTGTTGTGTTAATTATCAATTCAAGCTACACAGCTGGTTTGACATCTATCTTAACAGTGCAGCAGCTAACTTCAAAGGTTGAAGGGATTGATAGCTTAATCTCTAGCACCGATGCCGTAGGAATTCAAGAAGGCTCATTTTCATTGAATTATCTGATTCATGAGCTGAATATAGCAGCTTCTAGGATCGTTCAGCTGAAGAGCCAGGAGGAATATATGGATGCTCTTCGCCGTGGACCTGCAAATGGTGGGGTAGCCGCCATTGTAGACGAGCTTCCTTATGTCGAGCTTTTCCTGTCGGGCACTAATTGTGTCTTCAGGACTGTCGGGCAGGAGTTCACTAAAAGTGGATGGGGATTTGTAAGTATTAATCCAACTTTTTTCTCGGTCCAACTCGATAGGAATTAGGTTCACTTTGAGCATAAGCTCTCGTGGTTTTGTTTTTGGGCTTCCCGAAAAAAGCCTCGTACCAATGGAGATGTATTCGTTACTTATAAACTTGAACAGTCTTCCCTTAATCGAGGCTTGACTCCTTCTCTAGAGTTCTCGAATAAAGTACACTCTTTGTTCGACACTCGAGTCACTTTTGACTACACCTTCGAGACTCACAACTTCTTTGTGACATTTGAGGATTTTATTGGCATGTCTGAGTTAAGGGCATGACTCTGGTTCTATATTAGAAATCACGACTCTCCACAATGTTATTATATTGTCCACCTTAGACATAAGCTCTCATGACTTTGTTTTTGGACTTCCTCGAGAGGCATCATACTAATATAGATGTATTCCTTACTTATAAGCCTATGATAATTCCCTAAACTATTCAACAATTCTCTGTCTCAGGCATTCCTAAGGGACTCTCCTTTGGCGGTTGATTTGTCAACAGCCATTCTTCAACTCTCAGAGAAGGGCGATCTTCAAAAGATTCATGACAAATGGCTATCACGAACGGATTGTTCGAAGAATCTCAACCAAGTCGACGCAATCCAACTATCACTAACTAACTTCTGGGGGCTGTTTCTAATTTGTAGCATTGCTTGCATTGTTGCTCTTTTGATATTCTTCGGTAGAGTAGCATTCCAATATCGAAGAGCTACCCCGGAAGCCCAGCCTGAAGTCGAGGAGACCCAACCTGATAGGACGGGATGCTTCAGTCGTACTACTAGCTTCATCCAATTTCTAGATAAAAAAGAAGTCAAAAAGGCTAAAGGAAAATCCATTGATATCAACCCAGCTGGCCAGAGCTCTGAGGGCCACCCTGATGAACTCAAAAAGGCTAAAGGAAAATCCATTGATATCAACCCAGTTGGCCAGAGCTCTGAGGGCCACCCTGATTCACAGCCTCGTTAGCGCTTGCCCCTCGTCCTGGGGTGGAAAAAGCCTCAATCCCTGTTCTTATTGGACTTTTTGGGTTCCTTTTATTTTCATGTCTTGTATAATGCATAAACTACAAACGTCACAATGAACCTCTAGTAATTTTGTTTTTGAGAACTTGTAAATTCATGATGAAAACTTTTTAATTAACCGATATGGGACTTCTCTCCCAACAATCCTCCCCTCAAACAACACCATATAGCATTTCCTAAGAGGCCTATGAAGCCCTCGAACGAACAAAGTACACCCTTGAGTCTCTTTTGACTACACCGGCTAGTTGCTTCTTTTGTTCAAGATTTGATGATTCGATTAGCATGGCTAAGTTGAGAGCATGACTCTCATACTATGTTAAGAATCACGAATCTCTATAATGGTATGATATTGTCTACTTTGAGCATAAGCTCTTATGAGATCATGTTGTTATAAACCTATGATTAACTCGTTAATAAGCCGATCTGGAACTCCTCTCCCAACAATCCTCAACAGACACGGATCAATAAGCTTAACTCAGCCCGTATAAATCATATTTTAAGCATTTATATAAAACTCTAAAACATTGTTTGCAACATCACTTTTCTCTTCCTTAAAATATTTCATTTTTTTATCGAGGTTAAAAAGTGGAAGATCTACCCCAAGGGTATTTACGTCCAAGCTTAATTTAAAAATTCAATTTAAAAAATATAATTAGCATTTTTTGGTACGTGTAATGAATTTAGTCATTTTTCGAATTAGACGCCCTTTACCTTTTTGGACGCATTTTATTTTGTTGGGACCAAATTACCCCTAACAAGGAGTAAAAAACATAGGAAATACAAAGAAAATAATTGTTGAATTAAAATTGAAAATAAATAGATAAATAAATAGATTGGCCCACAGAAGATATTTATGAATCCCAAAAACTTGACCAAAAAATTGAAATAGTGCATACGTGTCCTATAGGGTTTTATTAAAGACAGAAAAAAGATGTGAATGACGTGGACGTAATGAGAAATCTTAGCCACAGATGGTTCGACCATCATAATTTAAATAAGTCACCAACTTTTCGTTTTTGTCGTTTTGTACACCTAACAAGATTCCTTGTCTCCTCATTTTTCATTCTTGCCTACGTGTCTTAACATCCTCCACCACATATATATTTTTTTAATTAAGAAATAAGAATTTAGTATTTGTAAGTTGTTTAGAATTTATTTGATAATATATAATATTGACTAATAAGATAAATGTTCAAATTTTCGTAAGAAATTGATTTTAGAAAATTACACGTGTTTCCTATCATTAAACCAAACCAAGAGAATTCTCAACAAAATTTAAAAAGAAAGGAAACTTTTTAAAATTTATTTCTTTAGTTTTAAAAAATTGGTTTGAGTTATGAAAATATTTGTAAATAATAGTAATAATTATTATTATTACAAGTAGTATTGTTTATAAAATTAAAAAATAAAAAATAAATTAATTATGAAAATAAACAGAAAAAAGAGAAAAGAAAATGACATGACATGATCGAACTCCAATGATGAAAATGGAGTTGGTCGGTTCAATAAGTTTGAAATTATGAACCTCCAAAGATATTTTGTAAATCACGTTATTGTTCAATATATTCATCTAAATTTAATAAAATAAAATAAAGCTCATTATATTTTGACTTTTTTGCAGTACAATAAATGTAGGGAATGGGAAAAAAAAATTATCTTTAGGATTAAATTAACGAAGTAATTTTCTAATTAAATTTAGGTAATGAAACTATATTAGTTATGATATATTCAACATTTTTTTAATTAATAAAACTATTTATGTATAAAATTAAATATTATATCTGACTTTCAATTTCAATTTTGTGTTTAAATTTTGTGTTTAGTACATTCCTAAATTAGAAGAAAAAAAGAGTGGGTTAAAAAGAGGGTAATTAAAAGTTTAAAAATTTATTAGATTCCAAATCGAAATTTTAGAAATTTGACACATTTTAAAGTTCAATGTCGTATTAGATGTTAAAACTTATTAAATACTTTTAAAGTTGTGAGATGTCTTGTAAGGCAAAATTAAATGCTTAAAACTTGTCTTTTGTTTGCACATTCTCGTGAAATTTAGGAACCATTCACAAAATTAAAGAAAAAATATGAAAAACGAAAATGAAAAAAATGTTTTGAATGGGTAAGATTAATACTGAAATTTGAACACAAATAATTAAAAGACATCCACGTTTCAATCATATGATGATTAACGGTCCAAGACAAACTTTTGGTCAGAATCATAAGATTTTGACACGTGGATTGAATCGTGTGATTTTTTGCCACTCGAATTCAATTTCGACATTTGGTTTACTTGCGTTCTACCGGTAAACCGCCCTTCCGTTAAAGTCGTCACATTGATAGCTAAAATGTCGCTGAAACTGATTTTTCAAGAAAATAATAAATAATAATTAAAAAAAAAATTCCCCCAAAAATCAAATAATGACGATATTTGGTCTAAAAATACCCCCTGGTTTGAAGAGCACCAAGATCCCGGCTTACCATTTTCATGGCCTGGAGACCAATCCACACTCTCACTCCAGACCATCCACATTTCCCAACAATGCCTCAACCTTGCCGGAAACAACCACTCAATTTCGGCCTTAAGCGGCAGATGCATCACCCAGCGACTGCTCTGAAGCGCCGCACTCGCCAGTTTTTGGAATCAATTCTAACATGTTACTCGAAGAAGCCTCAGACATGTCGGACGGTACGTGATGATGCTGCTACGGCTTCTATATCACCGCGAGCTGTCGCTGATGGTGGGTTTGAAGCAGAGACTCGAACACCCTTGTGCCATAATCATAGCCAGGACAAAGATTTGGTGCCTCTGAAGATCAGCCTGTTGGGTGATAGCCAAATTGGAAAGACATGTTTTCTGGTAAGTGGAGTTTATGTTTCGGTTTTGGGTTTTGGGTTTTGGTTTCTGGGTTTCACTTTTCATTGCTGATTTGAAGGAAAAATATGTTGGGAATGAAATGGAGGAGGGAAAGAGTGAGCAGAGAGGATTGAACTTGATGGACAAGACACTGATGGTTAGAGGGGCACGAATTTCGTATAGCATTTGGGAAGTGGGAGGTAATTGGCTAAATTTGCAGCTCAAGAATTATAATGTGGACAGTTCTATGATGAGATGCAGAAAGGAAATAATGTGTGTATATGGATGCAGGTGACAAGAAATCTCAGGATCACATTCCAACAGCATGCAAAGACTCTGTAGCAATTCTTTTTATGTTTGATCTAACAAGTCGGCGTACCTTAAAGAGGTGAGACTTGTTTCTGTTGCTTATTCAACTTTGGCTCTGATGAATAAGAAGATTGAAACCAAGATTTTCCTTCGGTTTGCAGCGTTCTAAGGTGGTATAGACAGGCCTGGAAGTGGAATCAGGTATTTTAGGACCCATTTGATCGCACCCTCCAAAGTTTCTAAAAGCAAAAGCTCCTTTCTCCCACTTTACTGAAGGTGGAACTTTCTCTGTTCGTTTTGCAGGCAGCAATTCCAGTACTGATAGGAACAAAGTTTGATGATTTTATCCAACTCCCAATCGATTTGCAATGGGCAATTGCATGCGAGGTAACAGTTGAAATCATGAGTGTTTCTTTAGTCGTACCCTTAGCCAGGAAACTGAATGATGATCCAAGATCCTGCAACTCCATAATTTTGTAACTCAGTTATTAAACTGATAGATTTTTTTTTTTGAGAGTTTCCCACCAAATCTTCCAGATTTGGGTTATGCCAGGGTTGTCTCAAGATTTTCATATTTTGACAGGCAAGAACCTACGCGAAGGCACTGAATGCGACATTGTTCTTCTCCAGTGCAACCTACAATATCAATGTCAATAAGATCTTTAAATTCATCACAGCAAAGCTCTTTGATCTACCTTGGACGCTTGAGCGCAACTTGACTGTTGGAGAGCCTATGATAGATTTCTAGAGTCGTTCTTCCACCCTACGTTGCCAACCTGATTCTCAAGAAACTCATAAAATCATCCTGCACAAGGATTACCATCCACATTGCTTCCACAAAGCTATGTCAGATGTAGCGGAGAAAGGCAGAGGCGTAGAGCCCCGTCTCCGAAGTCAAGATGCATCTGCACTGCACCAAAGTTGTTGAAAAGCAATCAGACAATTTGTAATAACCACACTTGTTTACAGTGTCATAGGAATCAGATCAGGCATGTCATAGCAAATGCAGCTAGAATCCTTTTAGAAAGTTCAGTTCAAAATTCATGCGTATCCGTAATCACGCTCAGCATCTTTTTAGTGAGAAAATTACAGTGCCTGTAAAATTAAAAAGCAGTTAGATGTCCTTCTTGCTTGATGTGATCAAGTAAAGTTTGTCCCTCGTCTTTAGACAAGCAGCTGAGGTAAGAAGTAAAAAAATTTCTTCAATAACAGACCATCCCACGCGGACGCGTCTTAAAATTACTAGACGCGTCTTAAAATCGTGAGGCTGACAGCGATATGTAACGGACCAAAACGGACAATATCGGCTAGTCCTCTAATGCAAAAGTTAATAATTAAGCCCCCTACTCTTATTATACGCAGTAACAATGCAATATCAACATTCATAGCGGAAAAGGTTGAGTCTGAGATATCAAATAATTCCACATGAATCCAGAAATGAAATTCATTTGAGAGCAATACTGAAGTACCTGTTAATGGCAATGTATTTACAACAGTAACTTTCAGGTGTTCAAACAAATATATTCCAACAAAGAAGTTCAATAAAACGAGTTTGCTACAGAATGTTGATTTAACCCCATAAGCAATGACAGGCTTTGAAACAGGAGCAAAGATCCTCCAGAACTGGTTGAGAGTTGACCAAGTTCATTAAATTCATGAATTAAATGATATTAACAGAATGTTGATTAAACTCAATCTGAAAATCTGAATACATTTATGAAACTTACACGGAAACAAATATGCCTGCAAATTTCAAGCACATGCATTGCTTGAAAATCTGTAAAAAGGTCCTGGGACTGTCTTAAATGGTTTGGTAGCAAAGAAATGTAATATAAAGTGTAGTGTAAAGTATAAAAGAGGATTAAATTATATGTTGAAGCAACTAGCAGGAGTGCAGCTTTTGTATCTTTAGCAAAAATGAATCGAGCACATGGGGAACAGTGAAGCATTGTATATCAGAATAGGATCATGACATTGATAACAATAATTTGATCCTAAAACTTTATATACCATATCTTTACACATTCGAAAAACATACACTCCACTTTGGATCCTGTGCGGGGAAGATGGACATATGCCATATGATACTTTTTATGCTTTTCAGAAATGTAATTTAAGAATTTAATGAATATGGTGTAAACAACTTGGGAAGGACTCGTTCCAACAGAAGATCTAAACTAACACTTAGTTTTCATTTATCCAAACAGAGAAACAGAGAGAAAAGAGATGGTGAAGAAAAACAAACCGGCCATTGGAATTCGAAATCCCTGCTATTAAACGAACGCTGAACGTTAAGTGTGTTGTTTGTTCTTGGCTTCTCTCGTTTCAATCTGTAAAGAGAAAATTAGAAATCACAGGTTGTTTGAGAAAGTTCTACAGGAAATCTCTAATTTCAAATTCCAGAAACCACAGAACGAAAGGAAACAAAAGAAGTCAGAATTTTAAGAGAATTTGGAAAATTCATAGTAGAGGATTGAAGGAGAAGTTAAATTACTTGGATAGAAAAAAAACATAATTAGCATTCTGATTCATAGCGTGAACTTTGAAAATGAAATGATGATCGTTCCCCTCCGCCATCCGCCATTGACACTCTTCCATCGGAGTTGGCGGTTGCCGCTGCCTGCATTCTGCTCATTGGATTTAGGGTTGTCAAACAAAAAAATGGCGGGTAAATGTAATCTTTTCCATAAAAGAGATTCAACTGTTAGTGTGACATTTTTATTTTTTGTTTGGAAAATTATTCACTTAAATTATAAAAATATCTATAAATTTTTAAATTCATAGAAATTAATACTTACTTTTATGTAGTTTTACCTAATTAAACATTATATTATCGACCTAATAAAATATTGGGATTTTTTTATTAAAAAAAAAACTCTTATTTTATGAATTTATTTATCTTAAATAATTTTGTACACCCAATAATTACTTACATTAATAACTCCAAAGAAAACTTATTTATAATAATATTTTTTTAAGGGAGAGAAATTAATTTAAAAAATTAAAATGAAAGTATTTATTATATTAAGTTAGAGAACATTAACGAATTTAATTATCCAAACATTTCCCCTTTTCTAAACTTTATATTATACAATTAAAGAAGCCCACCTTGAATGGTCATTTATATAAGGATATTCAATTACATATATAATTTAAAAAAAATTATTTATACTTTCTCGTACTTTAATTATGCTTATATTTAATCCTCATTGTTAACCTTGATTAATTAGATGCAAATTTAATGTTTTTTTTTTTCCAAATTTTTAGAATCATATAACATTGCATTCTCAAAATTGCTCGTCAATGGTTGATCTTGTTTTCTAAACTATTTTTTAAGAACATAGTCAAAGGCTTGAGCATACATTGTCCGTGTCAACCGTGATCAAGTTTTATTTAGCTTACATACTCAATGTAACATCTGAAACCCAACCATATATGGTTCTCTTTAAGCTTGTCCAGCGCTAGCAAAAGTTTTTTAAAACTCGTTTGCTAGGGAAAGGTTTCCACACCCTTCTAAAGAATGTTTTGTTTCCCTCCCAACTAACGTGGGATCTCACAATTCACCCTTTCAGAACTCAGCATCGTCACTAGCACACCGTCTGGTGTCTGGCTCTGATACCAATTATAATAGCCCAAGTTTACCACTTGCATACATATTGTCCTTTTTTTGTTTTCTTTCAGACTTCCCTTCAAAGTTTTAAAAACGTGTCTGCTAAGGGGAAAAGATTTCACACCTTTATATAGGTTGTTTCATTCTTCTCTCCTAACTAATGTGAAATCTCACACTAAGGACGAAAGTAAATATTGCGAGTCTTGAAATAGTACAATTGTGACAATTGATATCGAAGTTTCTTAGCATCAAATGGAGTAATGCAACACGAAAATTAAAGTCTTGGGTGTGCAGTTAAAATCTCTGAGTGTTCATAGACTGAATAAACACTGAGTAACTAATCAGTAGACGACTAAAATTAGAGGATCGGAGCCATGAAAGGGTAGTAGGCTTCAAAAAAACATGGCATCATAAAATCACAGAGGGAAACACAACAATGAATCCATAACAACACTCATCCATCCCACAAAATAACCAAACAAAACAAAAACCTAAGATACAAATGTTGTCATCACAACAAGTCCCTTCCTTCCTAGGAAAAATTAGATGATTTGGTTCTTGTTTCTTGTCGTTTCAGCCTTTACTCCGTTCGAGGAAGTCAATGCCCGAACCCCTAAAACACTCTCTCCATTGTTTTTTTGTTGCAGGGTGCGTTCTTGACTTCTCCCAAATACTTCGTATCAGCCAAAAATTCCCTCATTAACCCCTAAAACCCACAAAAGTTTCCCCCTTTTTCCTGTCTCTTATGCTGTCTCACATGACAAAGAAGCTTTAATCCTCTCCGCCGTACAAGCAATCAGATTGTTCACCGTTGCAACTGACCCAAGTGACAGTTTTGCTGTTGGCACCGAATCCACCAGAATCTGAAATGCCACCGTCAGGAGTGAACCACCGGCGGCAGTCTCTGCCGTGCCGTCTGGAAGAATGGCGAACCCGGAGGGGAGAAGCGCGACATAGTCGGGATCGCCACCGTTGAGGACGACGTTCATTGCAACGATGTCGACCGGAGCGTAGATGACGAATGAAGCTGTTGGGTCTGTGCAGCTTTCTTGCAGGATCAGCATGTTGCTTTGGCTTGAATTTGCACTCTACAAATTATTAATGAAATGTGAAGAAAAGTAGTTTTAAGCACAAAGTAACCATAGATTTTTAAAGATTTTTAAAGGGTTTAGGGCTAGGGAGAAGTGTTACATTTACACGTAGAAGAGAAACGCAGTTGCCCGTGTCGCGACCGTTGGCAATGTGCGCCATTTCTTGAACTACTCCACCATTCGACAGAATATCCCACTGTAAAAACATCAAACAAGAAGTGCCCATTAATCGATAGTACACTATAGAGCCTCCTATAAGGTCTATAGAGCCCTCATACAGTCTACCCTTAATTGAGACTTGACTCCTTTCTTTGGAACCCTCAAACAAAATACACCCTTGTTCGACACTTGAGTCACTTTTTTACTACACCTGTGAGGCTCACCACTTCTGTTTTCAACATTTGAGGATTCTATTTACATGATTAAGTTAAGGGTATGACTATGAAACCATGTTAGAAATCACGACTCTTCACAATGGTATGATATTGTCGACTTTGAGCATAAGCTCTCATGATTTTACTTTTGGTTTTTCCAAAATGTCTCGTACCAATATAAATATATTCCTTACTTACAAACCTATAATCATCCTTTAAATTATCCAATGTGAAACTTCCTCCTAACAATCCTCAACATTTAAGCTGATAAGTTACAGTAAATTTTAATACCTCACTTCGAGAGTTCTCGTCACGGAGAAAATCAAAGATTCTCTTAGGTGGAATGGGAAGCCAGAAGGAAGTTGCAGCACTAAGGACAATACCCGGAGGTCTTCCGGGGTCATCGATACTCTTTCGGGTCATGACTCGAACATCGTCGGCACCGGTACCCGACAAAGTAGTCCATGTGTGAGTCGTGGAGGCGCTCACACCAGCACAGAAGCTTATCACCATTCTCTCAGCCAGCTTCAGCATGCTCTTCCTCCCTTCTTGATTCGTTATCACTAGGTTCAATTTGAATCCACCATTACATATCAAGAACAAACAATCAGGGAATTAATTTAACCATAACCATAACCTATAAATACCTCCAACATCACCGGTGGGTATGTTGGTGGCCATGGCACTGGCAAGCCGTTCACATTGGCGGTCTAAGGTTGTAACCCATCGCTTGGCTCCAAAAGCTTGGCCGGAGCTCACCAGCTGCTTATAAAGACTATGAACTCCTCTATCATCAACCTCAACGTGCTCAACCCATGTAACCTAATATACCAAACCCAACAAATCAAGTCCCTTTCATTCCAATTCATTAAAAAAAAAAAAAAAAAAAAAAAAAAAAAAAAAAAAAAAAAAAAAAAAAAAAAAAAAAAAAAAAAAAAAAAAAAAACTCATCTTTAACAAAATTCACCTTTGAATAACCATTAGGCATTTCTTGGATCAAACAACCGGACGGTCTTCGTCGGCACCTTAATCCAGGAGTAGGGCGAAGATCGTCCAATGAAACATCGACCACCGCCCACGTCCCGTCCACGTGTTGTTTGCAATATCGAACGTAGTAGCTCTCCCGAGTTGGAACTAATGGCGACAGAACTTGAAATTCCGATGTCATCTAAACAAATATTAAGCTTTTGAGTTTAGTAGTAGTTTAACGGGGTAATGATGGATATAAAAAGAACATACCACTTGTAAAGCTCCATTGTAATTTCCAGCTACTCCAGTTGACAACACTTCAAGTGTCATGGCTCTTGACACAATTCCAGAGAATAAAGTTGACCATTGATTCTATCATAAAAATTAAGTAAAAATTAGGTTAAATTTTTTTTAAAAACCCCAAGAAATTCAAAATTAAATTACTTACCACGTCCATGAGAATCTCAACAAGATTAATATGGTTCATGATAACAACAGCTGATTCACGTGAGGCTTCACATTTAAACCCAGATGGCTTAGGCCCAATGCCTCTTGGAAACGTTCTCAAGTACTCATCTTCATTAAGCACATTAGTGGACCCATCTAGACTAGTCATCCATAAGGGCTCGCCTAGTTGAGCCATTCTAGTGAGCTCTTCCATGGCTGCAACTGCTAGCTCGATGATCATCGGCTTGTCCGCCTCGGTTGGAGCACTGATGGATCGGATTAGGTCACCAGCCGAACCGTAGATGTCTCCTCCTAAACCTGATTGTGGTCCGAAGTTGCCCATTCCGAGCTCTAATGGTCGAGATGGAACTGGTGGAGATAGTAGAGGGTAGTTCACCACTGGCTTTCCCACATATTTTGCAGCTATTGCGGATATGCGATCAATCTAGACGGAAAAAAATCGGAGAATTGAAAATGAGGTTTCGGGCAAGAAGCGGAATCTTGAGCTTCTAATAACTTCTAGATACAAATTTGAAAACATAATTTTCCAGATAACAACCTTTGATATAGATTCGAAAGTTACAATCTTTTAAGTTTCTATGTCGTACCTCTTCGCGGAGACGGGCATTTTCGAGTCGAAGATGATGTTCATCGAAGGACATTTCACCAATGGCAGTCGGGCCACCGCAATTAGGGCACGAGGCATTGCTAAGAGCTTCTCTATATCTCATGTTATCAGCTCGAAGCTTCTCATTTTCGGTTCGAAGCTGGGTGTTCTCATGGCGTTCATGTTGATTCTGTAAATGCAGTACAAATATCTTAACAAAACATTTCAAAGAAGAAAAAACAGCCCTAACCCTAAAGTAAGCATTTTTACCTTCATTTGAGTACGTTTGTTTTGGAACCAAAACTTGACTTGCAAAGGCTCCAACCCTAATTCCCTGCTTAATTCCTTCCTTTGTTTGTCATCAGGGTGAGGACACTCCTTGAAGAAACTACCCGAAAAACCCGAAACAAAATTAACCACAAACTCGAACTCAAACATAGTTCAGTAAATAAAACATTCTAGATAGACTTACGCTTCCATTTCTTGAATCTGATGTTGAGTATGACGATGATAACGCTTCTTTTTAGGACGAGGGTCTTGATCATCACCCGAGGCAAGTTCATGATTGTTGTCGCTACCAGATTTAGTAGCGCTATCGAAATCATCGTCTCGGATTCGAGCAAAATCGCTATCGGAAGTGTTTTGAGGCATGTCTAAGGGGAGGAGCTTACCGTCGTCAAAAATACTTGGCTGGAACATCTTCTACAGATCTTTAAGATTCTTCCAAGACAGCTTATGGGTTTTGAATCTAACAATTACACAATGAAAACTTCAAATTCCACACCAAATTAATCAAACCCAACAAATATTTTCCGACCAAAAATGTTTTTTTTTTTTGTCTTCTTTTTTTTAAAATCAAAATCTAAACCAAAACCCCATTAATTTTTCATAAGAACCGTTCTTGGAATTTACTCTCAAACTTTATAGTCCCCATTTTTTCTCTCTCTTATTTTATTGTTTTTATTATTTTCTAACGCGTTTTCCGAATATCGATGAAGATTAGCTTCGAAACGACGTGTTTTAACCTAACATAGAAATCGAGATTATGTTAATAATTTAATAACTTTTGTAACGATTTGAGACCCATTTGCCAAAAGGGTTTTTTTTTTTTTTTTTTTTTTGGCTCACAATTACCAAAAAAACAAAGATTTTCATATAGAAAGTCAAAATAGGAACAAAAAAAAAATAAAAAAAGGGTATAAAAAAATGAAGAATTTTGAGATGAACATGAACACAAACCTGAGGAAGAACAAGTTCATAAGATGAGTAAAATCCAGCAACGTTATTCCCATTGCTTCCAAAGATGGAGGACATGTTTGTGGCCGGTGTAGTAATCCCGGCTGGCATGTTGGAGATTAAACACAGAACAAAGAATCCGACAGAACCATATGAGATGTACATAAACGCCCACAAAGATCTCGGACAATATCCTAAAATGCTTCCTTTTTTTTTCTATGTATATGCCTCCTTCTCTCTCTCCTATCTGCAACCAAAGCACTTGTAAAAGAGGAAAAAGGAACAAAATTTGGATCAAAATTAAGAAATTTATAGGGTATTTGAAGGGTTTTGATCTGGGTTTTTACCAATTTGAAGGCTTTACTTCAGATCTGATCTGGGTTTTTACCTTTTGATGATTATCCTCCAAGTTTTGTGTTGTAGGAGTGATATAACTTGGTGGGTGTGGAAAAAGGAGCTATCTTGAAGTGAAAAAATTAGGGTTCTTGAAGGAAGAAGATGAGTTTCAGAAGAAGAAGAAGCAGAGGAGGAGATGGAGGAAGAAGAGGCAAGAAAGGAGTTATTGCAGAGCGTATTGAGAGGGTGCAATGGCATTTAATGGAGAAGGAAAGAGGTGTAATTGCAGAGAGAGAATTTTGGAGATTAATTTGAAGCCCTTTGAGAGGAGAGGAGGGGAGTGTATATATGATGGTGCGTCGAATGACGGCTACCAAACCCTTTACGTTACTATATACTCAAAATTATGTATATCCAAGCCACGGACATTCAAATCTTTTATCGTTTTGGTCCAAGATACATGTTTAATTATCGACGTTCGGGTCGTTCGGGTCTTTAAGGGTTTGACTAATCCGTGTGGTTTGATAAAACTTAAGTGTATAGTTGGTTTATGAAGATTTTATCGAATTATACCGACTATTTATGATATACGTGGGTTTGGATATGCATACACCAAACATATATTAATTTTGACCATTTGTTGTCTTCTTGAATTATTACAAAAGGTTAAAAAATGACTTTTTATGTCTTTATTTGAAAACTAACCCTCTTCATCAATAAAGATCGTCTTAGACTTTACCTTATTTTTAATTTCATTGATTAAATACTAACCAATTTTACAACCTACAAAGATTAATTATATCAATCATAATCCGTTTGTTTAAGAATATATTCATTTCCAGTGATGTAGTTGTGAAAATTCGAGCTTTCGATCTTTTGAACAGGTTATCATTGCTTTAGTCCTTGAACTATTCTCATGTTTGTTTTAGTACAATGTTGTTAGAAAATATTGTTTGCTTTAGCCCGTTATCGTCGTCAACCTTACCGTTTTAAAACGGTCGGTGTGTTTTTTACTTTTTAAAGTCAAATTAATGGGTAAATGGTGGTAAAAAAGTGAGTTTAAGATGAGAAACGTAAGGTTAATGTTTGAAGTGGGTAATGAATGGGAGATAAATAGAATTAATTAAGGGGTGAAATTAGAAGATAATGGGTGAGGTAAGAAATATTTTGGTGAAATAAATGAAGCCCAACAACATAAAATCTTGAAATAATGATTTGGATGTGGAAAAGAAAGGTGTAATATCGTTGTCAATGGTAGAGAATGGAACAAATTTGGGGAATAAGTTTATTATTGTTTCATATATACTTTCTAATGCATTTATTATTTATTCATAATAAAGTAGCACACACTACAAGTTGGTCACAAATCATATAATTCTAGAATTTGAGATTAACAACTCGAACTTTGTATTGGTACATCTCGAGTTTCATAACTAACTCTAATATCCGTTTAGAGAGTTCAACGAGATTTGAATTTATGGCCTTTTAGACGAGAATATATGTTTGAGTCATATTGGCTATGAAAATTGAGCATGAGTGTAACAATTTAAGCTCACTGATAGTAGATATTGTCTACTTTGGTCCGTTACGTATTACCGTCAGCCTCACGATTGTTAAAACGCGTTTGTTAGGGAGAGGCTTCCACACCCTTCTAAGGAAAGCTTCGTTCTCCTCTCCAACTGATGTGAGATCTCACAATTCACCATTTTGGGATCAGCGTTCTCATTGACACACTGCTCAGTATCTAGCTCTAATACCATTGTAACAATTCAAGCCCACTGCTAGCCGATGTTGTTCACTTTGGCCCATTACGTATAGCAGTCAGTAGAAGAAAAGGTTCGTTCTCTTTTCCAACTGATATGGGATCTGGCAATGACTAACTAAAACTATTTTGATAACTTATTTCTATACAAATGTAAATCATCATATGACCTTAAACTTTATAAATTTCATATCGATTCAATCGCAAACATTCCAAAATGAGTTCGGACAAAAATTTAGGGTTAATTTTTGTTCTTAGGTTTGTAAATATTAAGGTTGCAAGAGGACCAAAATTAATCAAAATGTTTTTTTTTTTTTTGGTTATATATGTCAAAGAAAAAAAATGTGGGGCTAGGAAGGCTTAATGATTTCTGTTTTCTGAGCAACAGGCTCTGCATGGCAAACCCTATTTACTTCCTTCATGCACTCTCCCCCTTCCACTTTTATATATATATATAATAAAAAGAATTAAAAAAATTAAAAATAAGATTAATACGAAGATTTACCAAAAATTCACGAAATTAATTTAAATATTAGAAAGTACACGAGGACTGAAATGAGACACGAAATTAAGTACAAACGTCATTTTTTTAATAACGGTGGAGTGAGTCCCACTGAAAACCAAGTGTCAAAGTCATGCTTGGAAGTTGAAAGCTACCATGGTTGGAGAAACTTCTATTCGATCAGTAATCTTATATATGTTAATGATTGACCTAGCTTTCTCGCTTTTTCTTTTAGATTGGATCGAACGAGATTGAATCAAAATTTAATGTCTACAACCCTAGATCAGGGGACGTGAGATGTCTTGGTCAGCCACAAGTCGACCAACTTCTCGAGCTTTTGGTCTAACTGACCATACTCATTTGAGCCAAGAGTATAGACGATAGGGTTCGAAGCTAGGTTGGGTTTGGGCCTGATTGAGCTAATATTTATAAAATAACGAGTATATCACAACATCGTGATAAATGTGAGACAGGTATGAAAATTAAGTAACCAATTAAATTCTATCATGTCCAATAATTTATAAAAATGACCTTAATTAATTACATTTCAGCAATTAAACACATTTTCCTCGTACTTCAGACTTACACACTTGTATTTATGGATTATTTTCATCGTACATTTTGCTTATTTAATTTAAATTTATTTAACATCCATTAATTCCATTTTTTGCTAAGGAAATATATATATACATATATATGATAACTACTGTGTTGGGTTGGGTCCCACGGGAATGGGTCTCATTCGTATTAGCTGGCATATGGATGAGGGTAAGGGCAAGTTGCTTTCACCCATAACCCAAAATATTTACTCTTTACTTTAACATCCCGCGGTTGAAAACGATCAAACAATGCAGTAAAAACATCCAAATAAGTACCAAAACCGTGTTCTTGGGTTTGATGGTCGAATGATTTTTTTTTAGATATCAAATATTCATAAGTCACAACGCATTATTAGTATTAGTTACAAACATTAAAGGTTTATAATAATCTTATTTAGAATGAAGTTGTAACTTTATTTTCAGATAGATCGAGTTGACCCAACAAAAAAAAAAAAAGTCAACCCACGAACATACCAAAATTTCGATTTTTTATAAACTCAACTTTATAGTTTAGATTGGTTAGTTTGAATTTGTCTGATTATCGAATTATATAACCACAAGTAGTGAAAAAAATTAATTTTTTAAATTACAAATTATTAGTGGATGGAATTTTTAAGTTATTTTCTATTTAGTTAAAATTTAAACAAATATAATAAATTTTCATATTTTCAATTTGTATCAAATATGTCTTTAATTTTAAAATATTTGATAAATCTTGAGTCTTGCAGGTTGTAACAAAGGATCCATTCACTTTGGGCTTCATGTTTTGCCCCACAATCTAATGGGCCCATGTCGAGCCCGAATAATCAAAGCTCGGCCCATCTCAACAGTAATAAGGATCTAGAAATAACATATATTTGCTATAAATACTCTGTCTACAAAAATTAAAAATAATAAAAACTAGATTTTTTTATTCCCAAAATTAAATTACTATGTCAATGAAAATTTTAAATTCCAGATCATAAAAAAGAAAATAATTCTACGATAATTGACATGTATATCTAAATCTTGAATTAAAAAAAAAATTATTCAAAATAAAAATGGTAGGTTAGACATGTCTACAAAATCTAAACCAATTTATAAATTGGTTTATTAATATTTAAATATATATAATTTATATATTTATTGTTGCCCCTTTCCAATCCAATAACTAACGTGACCGCATTTTCTCTCTCAACTCTTACTTACAATTGCGACCAAATGTTATCTCCACATCATTAATGATAATAACTAGCAAATGAAAATAATAATAATAATAATAATAACTAAAAAAAAATATTTCAACCTAGAGACTAAATTTATAAATTTAGGAAAATTAATTTTTTAAAAGCTATATTAATAAAAATATTCCACTAAAAAAAATTTAATAATACACTTATTTTTTTTTATTCATCTATGGACAGAGTCATCTATCTACATCTCATAGATCATTTACTTCTTCAAATTTAATGATATTAGTGATAATTTTTTTTTTTTTTTTATAGAACTTATTAAAATCAGTTTTGAAAGTTGTCGAGTATGTTTGAAATATAGTATTGAATATTTAAAATTTTGAAAGGGTTAAAAAGTCAAATTATAAAGCACAAAGGTCAACTTGTGAAGAAACAGTTTGGGTATGTTTATAACTGGAAGATTATGATATAACTTCCATGGCCCACACTCCCTCCACCTCCACTTTCCCCCTTATAAATTCTCTCCTTTTCTTTTCCTCTAAGACCCCCCACCATTTTTAATTTCACTTTAAACCCCTCTTTACCCTTTTCTTTTCTCCACCTCCCCCTTCATTTTCCACAAAATTCATGGAGAAATCTGTCAATTCATCCATCCAGCAAATCCCTCACCCACTCCCTTCCTTCTCCTCCTCCTCCGCCGCCGAAGAAAGCGCCTGGACTGCCTATTTGGACGATCCCTCCGACGACGCCTACAGCCTCGCCACCTCCTCCTTGCTCTCTGACGCCGCTTCTCACGCCGCTTTCAAACTCTCCGCCCCTCCACCGCCTCTCTCCGACCACCTCAAAATCCCCAAAAAATTGTCTCTCAAGCCTAAAGCTCAGTTTTTTGTTGACACTTCTCTTGAAGATACCGCCAGCTCTCCTGATAATAGCCCCAAGGTGAATAAAAACAACATCTTTTTCTCTTTTTTTCTTTTTAAAAATATATATTTGGCCTTCAAATCATGTCTGTGTTCTAGGTTGCTGATTTTGGGCCGTTCGATGGGAATAATCATAGAAGAAAAAAAAGCTCTCTGGTAACGTTCTTTTAATCTTGAACACGACTCTCTACCTAGTATGATATTGTCTCTGAACATAAACTTTCATGACTTTCAATAGGATTTTCCTCCAATAATTAAAAGGGATTATTTTTCTGATAAAGATTTCTTTTTATGTGATAGGGAAATGGGAGAAAAATGGGAGAGAAATACAGAGATCATGAAATGAAGACTCGTGAATATAACGACTTGAAAAAGAGAGGATTATGCTTGGTCCCCTTGTCCATGTTGGCTAATTACTTGGGTTAACCACGATCTCACTCGTACTCGTATGTAGCCAATTCAAACATAGCTCTACAAGTAGATCATCGACTTCCATTTCAAAGATTCGTGGTTCGATCTTTCACTGAAGGTCAAAAAAAAAAAAAAAAACACCCGTTTGTATATGATAGTGAAAATTATAGTATTTTTGTTGTAATCGACAACTACCCATCTGGATTTTACGAGCACGGCTTTTATAGTCGGCTTATATTCAATATGTAAATTTAATTTCATCTCGAATTACTAATTTAGAATCTCATAGTAACATTTTAAATTATCAAGGATAAAAAAAATTAATTTGTTTGGGGAAAAAGATAATTAATATAATTATTTAGGCAAATGGGGTAATTATAAAATTTAGGCTCAATTATGGCCCTATGATGATGGTTGGTCCAAAATTCGAATTAGCGTGAAAGTAAGGTACCAAATTTTAATTAATTTAATTTTTCCAACTAAACGTGGGTCCCATTTCCACGACCAATCAGAGCGTTGAAACTCAGTGTTATGCACGATTCAAATAAAACGCCGTCTCGAATTACCTACCAAATCCCTTTTTATTTATTTATTTATTTTTAAAATATTATGAAATTAATTCCGTAATTATAAATAAATAAATAAAATTTTAATATAGACTACTTTTAAGATTGAAATAAAACAAAATAATATTTAAATGAGAGAGAATATTTATGCAATCCAAGGTAATAATTGCTCGTTTTTTTCTTTAAAATTACTCAATTTATTTTTTAATTAATAAATTGTCGCTGGTTTTATGGAGCGTCAAATACCAAATCGAAATAATAATTCTTTAATAGATTGATTTATGTATTTTCTAATTTTCATTTATACTCAATCTCCTGCAGGCCTAAATATTATTATTATTATTATTTTGTCTATTATCTCTAATTATGATCATTTTAAATAATTATTTTGGCTCATTTTATTTATAGATTCCATCCAGTAATTAATGTCTTTGTTTAACTATTTATTTATTTATTTATTTTAATAACAAAATAAATAAGAATTGATTGGAAATACGCAGGCCAAGTAATTAAATGTGGCGTGCTTGTGCATGCATATTTCTTTAATTTAATTAAAAGAAATTAAAAGAAATACGTAACGATATCGAGATAGATTACCTTGAAAACATTTAAATATGTAAGTTTGAACCTATTCGAGTACGAGTTAGTAGACAATCAAACTTTTTCGGAGAAAATTAGATTTTAGCCTCGTTGGCCTCTCATGCTCGTTACAATACGGGTTTCAACAAGGCAGATTTAGTCATTAGTAAAGCGGAAGTCAACATAAATACTATTGTGAAAGTTAAAACTTCGAGCTAGAGGATGAAATTATCACCTACGATCCACTTTAAAAAATCATTTAAATATCGTAACTTAGAACCTAATAGTCGGAACTCTTTTATTCATAGTTCAAGGACTAGTTGGTAGACTTTTTAGTTCTCCTTTTGGTCCATTAATATCCCTTAAATTCATATTTATATTTGATTGGTTAAGTCATTAATTTTGAAAAATTATTCAGGTTGTTGCCTACTTCTTTTAATTTATAATATTTATTCTTTCCTTACATTTTTTAAAATATTTCTCTCAAACATGATTCAAGGCTCGAGCATAAGTTGATGTTGTCTATAAAGTCCGAATTTTTTACATCTGACTGTTCACTAGGTTAGAACAAGTGTCGCACAATTGACGTTTCGTTGTTGCAAGAGTGCGATTGTGACACTATGACGATTATAAAAAATATATATATATATATATATATATATATATATATATATATATATATATATATATATATATATATATATATATAACAAAATTATAATGATTTATATAATTTCAAATCAAGATGTGACACTTGGGGCAAAGATTCATGGTTGTTAATTCATTATTAAAAAAAAAAAAAAAAAAACTTTTATACATTTTTCAATTACAAAATATGCAAAAATGTTAAAATAGGTTAAATCCAATTTTTTAAATATTAATTTAAATTTAAAAGGTAAGAATCAAACATGTTTCAAATAATACACACACAAACGTGTCGGTGAAAATTTTAACATAAATAAGTTATGTCGGCAAATCTCATTGATATTAAACCAAAAATAAAACAACATTTCAAAACTCTACTTTTTTTTCAACTCTTAAACCAACCCGTTTTGAGTTTGAAAATAAATCAAGAGAATTTTGATTGATTTAACGGGAGACGATGAATTTGATTGAAAAAAATAATGTGATCTAAAGCGGATTAAGTTAAAAGGTAGCTAGTTTTTAGGTTTATAAACATTGATCCTGGTTCACTAATGTCACATCAAAGTGTCACAAATGGTTAATATGGTTGCCACTTTTAAGACCATTATTATATATCAGTTAATCACCAACTTAATTAGATAAGCCCTTTTGTTATCCAAGTTTGGTGATCCATCCCTTACTTAGACTTTCAATCATGATGTGATTTACATTATTTTAATCTCTCGATAAGATTAGTTGAAAATCAAGACTTTATTATATAAGAAGGAAGTATGTTGTAATAGCTTAAATCCACTATTAATAGATACTGTTCGGTTTGATCTGTTACGTATCGTCGTCAGTCTCTAAATATACGTAATTGAGAAATGATTTTTCTAATTTGGATTTAACAATTTTTATATTTTTATAACAAAATCATATAATTTTGAGTATTTTTTTTTGTTTGTTATATTCCAGGATAAATAGCTACCAGTCACGTTGTCATAATCTTATTAAATAATTTTTTTACGATAAAAAAAACATTAGGGTCCACCATTCTACAAATGTGCAAAATAATGTTAGGCTTTGGCATATAATTGTGTTTAAATAAGTGAATTAAACCAAATAATGTGTGTGAATAGATACTTAGTGGGGTATTATTTGATTAATTATCATAGTTTTTGGATTAGAGAGTTGTGGGAGCCAATCATTAATTAAAGGCTGTCCCTTAATGGTAAGATTATTCATAGTCATGCCTTAATTAATACTCCAATTTCTTTTAATCATCTCCGTTTCTTTCAAAATATGAACTATTTAATTAAGTAAATTTTAAAATTTTAAAAATCAATTAAAATTATTGGTATAAATAATGAGTCCAACTTAATTTTTAATCTCAAATATGAAAAAAAAAAGTGTTATATATATATATATATATATATATATATATATATATATATATTGGATATCGAAACATTTCATTTTATTTTTAATTGTTTGACGATAAATTATAGTAAAAATAGGATTTGTGTAAAATAAATATTTCTAAGTCTATTACACATGAGCTATTAATTTATTTAATATAAATATATGTCGTCACTAAACTATTATTATATTGCATACGTAATCCAACTTAATCTTTATATTTCTTCTATCGTTTGTTCCACAAACGGATAGAAACAACGGATTTGGACATTTGAGAAAATCTAAGAAAGGACTTATAAGGTTTTTTTTTTTTTTTCAAAATTTATAAGAACCAAAATAATTGAAACCAACCAACCTCAATTAAATTTTTTATTAACATGCCTAAAAAATATATCTCGTAATTTATGGAGTTAAACTGGTAGATTTAATAATAATTTTTAAAATATACATATATGTTTAGCAAGAATTTAATATTTTAGTGAAAAAATAAATTAAAATAGATGTCGGTTGAGCACCTCATTGGGGAAGGAAATTTTGAGCTGCCATGGGAATCTTTCTTTTTTGGCATTTTGGTCGGTATGTCTGTTAATTGACTTTAAAAAAGATTAAAAAATAAAATAATAAAAAAAAAGAAACCCGTGAGCATATGCCAAGAATTAAGAGGCTAATCATCATTAAACTGCATGGTTAATTTTATTTAAATTTAAAACCCACTATATCCCATGAATTCGGCCTTCCTTTTCTCCCAATATTTATTTAATATTCTTTCTTTTTTTTTAAAAAAAATAATATAATGTTTACTAAACCATGTGCTCCTAATTTTAATTATAATGTTCGTAGATTTTTTTTTTTTCTTTTTGTATAAACAATTCCTTCGATTCTATTCTTTCCAATTATCCTAATATTTGTTTGTGGTTGTTGAGAGGAATTTTAAAATATTTAACTTTTATTTTAATAAATATATTTAAGTTTATTTATTTAAAAGATATTTTTAAAATATGATGGGTGTTTCAAAAATTTCAATAATATATTTAAATTTAAAAAAATCACAAAAACATCCATTAGAAATTAATATTCTGAATTTTTTAAAATTTTATGAGTATTTTTAAAATGTGGGTACGAGTGTTTTTTAATTTTTTAAATTTCTAATATTATTAGAGTTAATTTTAGGAAAAAGAACATCTAACTCATTATGTTATATATAATAACGAGAGAATTAAATTTATAATTCGGGAATAAAGTTCATTCCAACCCCTACCATTAACTAAATTTTCCTACAATAATAGAACATAAATATTTTAAAGATATAGAATAAAAAAATAGAATTCTCAAAATAAATAAATAAATAAAAAGGCATGAAATGTGACGTCACATATTAAAAAATTATAGTCGTCATTTATAGGTTTTGAAAGAGTTTTGAAGCACTAATTCAAAATAATAATAACAATATTTTGGAAAGTCTGATAAATTAATTTAATTATCTAAAGTTTTTTTTTTTTCTACTTCTTAAAATAATAATTTATTCTTTCCATAATTCTTTTTTTTTTTTTTTTTTTTAAGTTTGATCTCAAAAATCTCTTAATTTCTTATTAGTTCGATGGTCAATTTTTTATAAGGTTAAAACTTGTAATTTATTATCTCATATTTATTAAATAAAAAATATTTTATCAATTTAAATATATTCAACTAATTAATTATTTAAAAAAAATCGAGTTGAAAAGAAAAATAAACTTAAAAAATTGTTTCATATTTTCCGGCCCGTTTCCATATCCATGTAAAGGCCCAAAAGCCATTTTACATTCTGAATTGGGCTGCTGAGTTTAGGCCCAAATATGTTTTATACCAAATTAAGACCGTGCCGTACGATTAAGGAAAGTAATAATAAAAAAAGATTTGTTAAAGAAATTTGGATAGAATTAATATTTTAAATAGATTAATTTTTCTATTTTGAAATATGGCATTACTTATTCTTGCATAAAAGAAAATGTAATTTTTGCTTTCATTTCATTCTTACTTCATTCTTACTTTTGGGATATTATTATAATTTTTAATTTGATGATGTAAAATTATACTCGAAATATATTGATTTTACGAGAACTATTTGAGGGACTCAAGCCAAGGCTTAGCATGTGGCCTAAGTCCTATTTGACTAAGTGAGATGACTTGATCGTGTAAGGTCGAAGGCAATTAGGCCTAATATGATCTAAACCCTAGTTGTGACTTGGTTCTATTCGTCTAGGTTGGTTAGGCAGGACCAAACTAGTTCCATTCAGCTTGTACATTGTACTTATGCGTCGGAGCATATGCGGAAAGCATTTCATGGACATTAGGTTTCTATTATTTGACACCGATTATCTACTCTTATCATGATAATAGGTACGTCCACTAGATATATATATAAAAGTCCCGAATCAAAAGGGTACGAATAACAAACCTAAAAGGTATAAATTGCAGCTTGAACGACAAACCATTGTTCTCGCAAAGGTATAAATGGATTGTAACGTGATCGCTTTCCTCTGTGCTCTGTTCCATCTTCTATCTGTGTGGGGGCTGTCCCTTGCTTGTCATCTCTGGGTTTGATTCTTTCATACGGCCTGGTATGGTCAAAATAGTTGAAATCAACGTTCAAACATAATAAATTTCTTCCCCAATTTCCCTCCCTTTTCAATCTTTGATTGGTTCAACCATCATTTTCTTCCATTTTGTGATTGTATTGTATACTATTATTGACTGTATTGTATACTATTATCTCCCCTCCCTGTTTCCCTCTTTTTTTTCTTTGCGAGGCTGGGATTATGATTGTCATGAACAACTCGATTACGGTAATTTGTTCTTTCATTTGTGTGTTTCCTGTCATTTTTAGGGATTGAATCGAGTGGATTTTGAATCTTTGGGCTCTGTGTTCCATTAGGGCTTTTGGGATTTTGTTCGAGTTTGTGATTTTGGTTGTCTCATATCATAGTTTATTTTCCAGAATTGCAGCTTTTGAGAGGATTTCCACTTTTTCTTTTACCTCGAGAGATTCTAAATTGATTGGTTCAAATTTGTTGTTGCCCTTTCAAGTTCCACTGTGATCTTTTAACAGGACATCATATTCATCCTCAATTTATATTATCATTTTCAATTTTAAAGAAATAGTTTCAATCTAGATCTTGTTATTAGTTCTTCTAAATTTAGTTGAAGTTGCTCGACTATTCAGCTAATCAAAGATCTTTTCTGACATGTTGTCGTGTTCTTTATCTAAGGAACCATTCCTCCGTGATGCCAAATGTCAAGCTTCAGAAGAAACTGATCTTGAGAATGGAACGCAAGTTCTGGGAAGCAATTCTGACTTTGAAATGGAGGCATTCAATAAGCAGGTGTACTCATTTAGAAATTTCATTTTATTTCCCCCTTAGTACAGTTCTGGGATTTTGTTTTGTTCTTTTATAGTCATCCTTCTAGTTTTCACTTCTTTTGCCTACTTTGAATTCAGATTCAAGCGATTGAGATACAAGTAGATAAGCTTTCTGGACGTCTTGTTTACTTAAATGTACGTATAGTGTAACAGCCTAAGTCCACCCCTAATAGATCTCACATCGGTTGGAGAGGGGAACGAAACATTCCTTATAAGGGTGTGACAACCTCTCCCTAATAGACTATTTTAAAACTGTGAGGCTGATGGTGATACGTAACGGGCCAAAGTGGACAATATACACTAGTAGTGAGCTTGGGCTGTTGCATACGGTCACCTTATTTCATAAATCTCTGGATTAGTATGAACCAAATGCTGCCAAATGACTGCAGAATTTGCTAAGGGATGCTAATGAGGAATCAAAATCTGTTACAAAAACATCGGAGATAATAGGTAATTGTTTCTTCTAATCTTAAGTTGAGTATTAGGTCAGAGAGTCGGTGAGTTGTGTTGAGGATTATTGGGAGGAAGTCACACGTTGACTAACTAAGGGAATGATCACGGATTTATAAGTAAAAAATACATTTCCATTGGTATAAGGCCTTTTGGGAAACCAAAAGCAAAGCCACGAGAGCTTATGCTCAAAGTGGACAATGTCATATACCATCGTGGAGGTTCGTGATTCCTAACCAATTGAAATTTCAAAATCATCAGAGATAATAGATACTTTTGAAGTTCTTGACTATGAGTTTGGATCCACATTCCACAATTTTTGTTCTTTTAGCATATATTTCAATTTTAGTACCAAATTACATGACCTGCTGGCACTAAGGGTTTTTTTTTTTTTTTTTTTTTTTTTTTTTTTTTTTTTTTTTTTTTTTTTTTTTTTTTTGTTGATTAACGATATTGATGAATTTTTCCTGTCTCCAGATCTTACCCCTTAGGCAGATGCCTGGACGTCAGAAGGGCTCTGCCTCAGACAGAGCAAGAATGAACATGACAAAGTTCGTTGGCAGTAAATGTTTAAGTCTTGAATGTTTTGGAATGATAACGTTTCTTATTGTAGAGTTTGTTTCTTTGAATGGCAGTGTCTTGACAAAAAAGCTCAAGGAACTGATGATTGAATTTATTGAATTTGAGTCACTTGGTGTAACAGCCCAAGCTCACCGCTAGTAGATATTGTCCACTTCGGTCCGATATGTATCGTCGTAAAGTCTTACGGTTTTAAAACGCGTCTATTAGAGAGAGGTTTTCACACCCTTATAAGGAATGTTTCGTTCCCCTCTCCAACCTTGTAAGAATGTGGAAATATGATACTATTACAAATGATATTAGAGCCAGACATTGAGCAGTGTGCTAGCGAGGACGCTGGCCCCCAAAGGGATGGGTTGCGAGATCCCACTTCGATTGGGGAGGGGAACAAAACATTTCTTTTAAGGGTGTGGAAATCTCTCCCTAGTAGACGTGTTTTAAAACCGTGAGACTGATGACGATACGTAACGGGCCAAAGTGGACAATATCTGCTTGCGGTGGACTTAGAGCTTTTACCCTTAAAATGTCTCTTTGTAATGATCCATATGATATTGATTTCTTTCTCCTCTAATCCTCAAATCATGCTTCAGGCCCTTCATGAAATAGTTCAGGACGAGTATCGTGAAGTCGTGGAAAGACGATTGATTACAGGTTCAAAATTGCTGGTTATTGATTGTGTGCTAAATACTTCCCCTCCATTGATGGCTTAGGCTAACTTTTTTTCTGTTTTGAACTTTGTCATGATGTAACTTAATTAAGCAGTCACGGATAGCAGTCCAGATGAGTTGGTAAGCTAAACTTTCAAGTCTAAGCTTGAATTTTAGGAACAAACCGAGATTTTGTTGTTGCTGACCAGGATTTTAATGATCATATTAGGTGATTGATCACCTTATCGAAACTGGAATCAGTGAGCAAACGTTCCCGAATGCATTTGAACAAATGTGACAAGGGAAGGTACGCACGATCGAACTTTACAAAAAATGCCTGCATTCTTTCAGCTTGTTTGACACTACAGCTACTTGATTGATTAACTATGAACATTCCTAATTTTCTGCTCTGTACACCGACGAAGGTCGTAAGTACCATGGAAGAAATTCAAGAGCGACTCGATGCAGTGAAGGAGCTTGAGAAAAGGCTCTCGGAATTGCATCAGGTATATATTTCTCCGGAAGGATAATGCAGGATTCTTCTCAGTAGTCTGATGAGTTTCTCCATTCTTGGTCAGATTTACCTGAAAACAGCAGCTTTAGTGGAGGGTCAAGCTAAACCTTTGGATAACATAGAAAATCAGGTTGGTTCTGTTCTTCCCTTCCATGCTTCCAACTCCTGATATGGATAATTCTTCTCCTTGTCTCGGTATTGAGTTCATGGGATCGATTGGATCTCATCTAGGTTAAGAACGTAGTTGACAATGTCCATCGAGCACACTTCGCTTTAAAATGCAGAGAATTACAGAAAATACATCGAAAATGGATGAGCATTGCCCTTGTTCTTCCATTTAGAAATGCTTACTGTTACAGTTTGCTTGCTAGCCACCCCCAACCCAATCTTGATTGTTTGCTACCTCAATTTGATCAGAACTAGAACCTCTATTTGGTCAACATGACTTCGTTTACATTAGTTTTCCGTGCACAAGTTCACAAAATTCTAATTGTTTTGAAATCTAAACTCCTTGTGGACACAAGACCGCTCTCAGTCGAGGATCAAAGTAATCCAGGCGGTAAAGAACTTAGAGAAGGAATCAAGAAAAGGCGTGATGTTCATCATCATAACAGTGCTGGTAGTAATTATCTTAAACCTCCTCTCAGCTGATCAGCCATGAAAAGAGTAACCGATGAAGATGACTCCAGAAAGTGAACTCGGTTTCAATCCTAGAAGAACATCATTTATTTCTATATTAACTTTTTTATATATATAATGTGACATCCCACATTGACCGAAGAGGAAAACAAAACATTTTCTATAAGAGTGTGAAAATCTCTTTCTAGCAAATGCGTTTTAAAACTGTGAGCCTGACGGCAATAATTAATGGGTCAAAGCCGACAATATCTGCTAACGGTGGGCTTGAGCCAAAGCAGACAATATCTGCTAACGGTGAGCTTTAGCTGTGATAAATAGTATCAAAGCTAGATACTGAACAACAACGAGGACTGGAAGTGGATTGTGAGATCGAGTGTGGAAACCTCCTTAATAGACGCATTTTAAAACCGTAAGGATGATACATAAGGAGCCAAATAGTGAACAATATCTAGAAGAAATGGGAAGGGATGGAGCAGTTCATACATATATGAAGCATGTACTAGCGATAGGAAGAAAAGGAAAGGAGCAGTTCATACATATATGATATAAAGAAGCATGGACAGAGAATACAACAAAACGAGAGTGCAAAATGCAGGTACTTCAAATTAAAACTAAGCAGAGTATTGTTTTGGTTTACATTCTGGACTTGGCTACCACCACGTTCCCTCCTTCTCCCAGGTTCACCGCTCCTTCCCTCGTCCATGACTCCTTGAACTGCTCCTCCGTCACCCCTGTAAACTCAAAAAACACACATCAATTAGTTCCTACTAGTTGGAGAAAGTTAGAATTTAGTCCTTACCTCGTCCCATGGCGGCCGTAGAAGAAATGCCGCCCTGAACTGTCTTCAGATACCGATCGTAGTAGTTAGCTCCAGACCATTTCTGATGAGCCAGTGTATCAACTCCATTGGCTCTCTCTTCCCTTTGAATCCTCTCAACATAACCCAGCATTCCCCGCCTCGCATAATCTCTAGCAAACGTATCGATCACCAACGCATCCGCATGGAAACCCGCGAGCGTGATGAACTGCCAGCAGAACCCAAGCCTCGCAATCCTTGGAATGAACTCTTCCATCTCCTTGTCGCTCATTCCCGATGCATCCCAGTTGAAAGATGGCGAGAGGTTATAAGCCAACATCAATTCTGGGTGCACCGATTTCACCCCTTTTGCGAAACTGGTGCACTCCACCATGTCGGGGCTTGATGTTTCCATCCAGATTAGGTCCGCATGTGGTGCGAACGCCCAACCACGAACAATCGCCGCCATTACCGACCCTTTGAACCTGTAAAACCCTTCTCTGGTTCTTGGTAAATCCCAGTCCCAGAACAGATTTTTGAGCCCCAATTTCTCAACGATTTCCCTCCCCTGTTCGTTCGATAGGCATTTCTCGTAACTCGATTGACTCATCCACTCGTCAAGCTTCCTTCTCTTTTCATTCTCTGTTGCGTTCATATTCATGATCGCGTCGGTCACGCATTCTGAGAATGTTTTCAATTGCGCCATGGAAATCCATTGATCTTCAAGTGCTTGAAGTTCCGCCCCTGTTTTTCCAGCCGCCATGGCTTCAGACAATGCCCCAGCTAAGCTCTTCCCTCTCAAATTAGGATTCGTTGCACCCAAAATGAACTGATGATCTCTACTGTCGACGTTCGTTTGAATCAAAGTAGCACCGACGGCATCGGTTCGAGCCACAAGAACCGTCTCGACCCCCATCACGTCGAACTGTAATCGAGCTGCGACGAGCCGATTGATATGCTCGCTAACCGCCACCAGCACTTTTCCCGCCATATGCCCGCATTTTTTCGTCACCGAGGATTGATCCTCAATGTGAACACCGGCGGCACCGCGCTCCACAAATAGCTTGCAGAGCTTCACCGTGGCGGTGGTGCCACCGAAGCCGGTGTCCCCGTCGGCGATGATGGGTTTGAGATAATCGACATAAGGGGTTTTCGCTCGCTCCTCTCGGCTCATACTCATCCTCGCCTCCCTCTGTTTCCGGTCATGGTACTGTTGAGCGAAGAACAGATGCTCGACCTTGTTCGGAACGGTGTCATATGGGTAATCGGCAAGGTCCGGGCCTGGTTCGTTGGTGGAGGTATGGGTGGAAGAGCATTGCCAGCCGGAGACATAGATGGTGTCCAAATGCTTAGCCATCATCGTCACTTGAACAGGGTCTAGAGCGCCAAATGTTCTCGACGCCGTGCCGTTGGCTTGGTGGGTTTTGAGCGTCCGCCATAGCTTCTTGGCCAACTCGTTTGAGGCGTAGCTTTGTCTTAAGCTGCCGCGTAGTGACACCACGTCTTTGGCAGAGTAGGGGCGTCGTGTTAGCTTGAACCTCTCTGAATTCCACCATGCATGTACCTCTGCAACTTCCGCTTCGAATCTCCCTTCTTCTTCCATTATCTGTTCATCAAAAAATGTCGATTGTTAGTCTTAGTTAGAACCTGCATTGTGAATTTGAATCGAAATTACAACGAACCATTGATGGAACAGAGAAGGATGCAGCCATGGGTAGAATTGAGTTACTCTGCTTTTGTGGGTTTTTCGACAATAACGAGAAGAAGTTTATCTGAATGCAAAAGGTTGGATGGAAAGATTGTAGTTATAAGGAGTCTGATCAGATCCGTTTTGAGATGGGTAAAAGTTAAATAATTATGGTTATAGATAAGAAAAAAGAAAGCCACGGAAACCAAGAAAGTTTAGACTCAGCTCAGTATGTTTTATCTGTTGTGCCATGTTCTATGGCAGATTCGAAGTGAACACACATTTTGATTTTGGCTTGATTTTCATTGTTATCTTCTTCGGATGAGAACTTGTACATTGTGCGGTGCATTTATAGGGCACCTAGGGTTATAACCCACCGTTGTCAACTTCATGATTTTAACACAGGCATCTTGACATGTTTCGTTTCTCTCTCCAACCAACGTGAGATCTCGCAATCGTAGTAGATATTGTTCTCTACTATTTTAAAACGGTCTACTTTGGAGATGGTCTAACACACTCTAAACAATGACAGGGTCTAGCACGACTCCAACTAAAGCCTCACGCTATTCGGTGATGGGGCTCTGATACCGTTTATAAAAACTTAAACTCACCGCTAATAGATATTGTCGACTTTCTCTTATTACGTTTAGCCGTCAGTCTTCTTGAGATTTCGCTCCTAAAAAAAAATAAAACTCCATGGGAAGTATTTGTGGGGTGGAATTGAGAATGGTGAGTGGAATTTTCAAGATGAAATCTAGTGATCCACGTGGTGGACCTATTTATCAACACGTGGATGTGTGATGTGTCGTAACAAGCGTGCAAAGAGGCAACCAATTAACTAAAACTTGTAAGATTGTGATTTTGTTTTTGCAGTAAAAAATTAAGAATGAAAAAAATATTGGATTAGGAATGGATAATTGATTAAAAATTAAAAATTAAAAATTAAAAATTAAAAATTAAAAATTGAGATGGTGATGAGGATGTGGAAGAGGGAGGGTATTATGGGCTGAGGCCTCGGGAGTTGTGAGAATTGTATTGGGCTATCTTCAAATGGGCCCACAGTGTGGGCCATCTCAGATTGGGTTACACTTTTTAGCACTTCGAGGAATTTTTAATTTAATTATTGAGTTTTTACTACTAATGTAAATTTTATTATATTAATTTAATAATATTATGATGTAAAATTTTCTACTCATTTTAATAGTAGCGAAAATCAATTAATTTAAAAGATTTAAATTAATTAATAGAAAATAATCAAAGATCAGTAAAATTTATGAGATAAATATGTAAAATCTTGAAATATAAAGAATAAATAAAAATTAAGTTAAAATATTATTTCTTTCATTTTCTAACAAATTTAACTCATTTCCAATAAATTGTTTTTTTATTTATAAAAATAAAAATAAAAAGCAAAAACAATTATATAATTTTTGTATTTTTACAATATCAATAAGTTTGGTTCGGTTTAATTCTCGGTCATTCTCTAGCCTTTCAGAAACGGGAAAATAAATGCCGACCGAACCGGTCCAATTTTTCCTCCCAACTCTGGTTCATTTTGGTGGTTGCCCTCGTCCCTGTCGCGCCTCCTCCTTTCCCCTTTCGATGTCTGGAACTGCAAATCTTCATTTTGATCTCATGATTGATGATTCTGCAACTTAATGCTTCCGAATCGTCCGTTGTTCTTCTCATCCGTTCAAATTTGTGTTCATCGGGCTTCTCTGTTAATTGGTTCCTCTTGTAATAGCACTCACTCCGTTGAATTCGAAGGCTTACTCTACACCCTTCTTGCTATGCGATTGGATTAAGATCTTAATTTATGCCTTCGAATTTGTGGCTTATCATGCTCCTAAGATTCGGGAAATGTTAAGGCTTGCACCGGGAGAACTATGGCTTTTATGGCTCTTAGAAGGAAGTTGGGTGAGAATGTTGTGCAGGAATTCATGCTTCAGCGATGCTATAGCTCTAAAGTTGACCTTAAGAAGCTCCGTCCAATGATTTTGAAGAGACTTCAAAATCGGGCCAATAACTATCCTATAAAGGGTATGATTCCAGTGGCACAGGAAGTCCTTGAAGCTAGGGCAATGCTTATTCATGGAGTTTCCACTCTTCTCAAAACTTTTCCGGTTCTCTCTTGCAAGTAAGTCTCTTGGGAACCAGTAATTTCTCATCTTTGTGTTATGATTCGTTTTCTTTTCCTTTCTTTGTTCATCGTTTTTAATCTAAATTGCATATTGTTTGAACTCATCTATTTATTAGGGGAGTAACATTTTGTCAGGAATGTTGAGTGACCTTGATTTTCAGTAAGCTGTTTCCTGCACTTGAAGTGAGGTCAATGAATTCAGCAATTTACATTATGAGATGCTTATCTTGATATGCATGTTTGTGAAAGCTGCTTTTAGAACTCCTAGACTCATTGTGTGCGTCTGTTCTTTATGAAGTCTGCATTTGCCAATCTCAGCTATTAACATGAATACATGTTGTGAATTTTTCTTCTAAGACTTTTTGGGTCATTGTATAATTTCTGTAGATTTTGTCCAGAAGTATATGTTGGTGACAAAGGTCATCTAATACGAAGTTGCGGCGGTTACAAACGTGGTGCGAAGAATCGAGTTCATGAATGGATCAGAGGTGATTTGAATGATATCCTTGTCCCTGTAGAATCATTTCACCTCCGTCACATGTTCCAAGATGTTATTAAACATGATGAGAGGTTCGACTTCGAACGTGTTCCAGCAGTCGTTGAGCTATGCTGGCAAGCTGGAGCCAATCCAAATGATGAGAATCTGTCTTCAAGCACTTGGAATTCAGATGGCGATGGCAGGGATGAACATTTGTCGAGTCATGAACTGATGGTTTTAGCAAATTCAACTATCAGGGCATGGGAAACAGTTAGAACAGGCGTGCAGAAACTGTTAATGGTATATCCTACTAAGGTTTGTAAACACTGCTCAGAAGTTCATGTTGGGCCATCAGGACACAAGGCTAGACTTTGTGGAGTTTTTAAATATGAGAGTTGGCGAGGATCCCACTTCTGGGAGAAGGGGGACGTAGATGATTTAGTTCCTCCAAAGAGCGTATGGCATCGGCGAGCACAAGATCCTCCTGTGCTCGTCGACGAAGGGAGGGACTATTATGGACACGCACCAGCAGTGCTGGCTCTTTGCATACAGGCTGGTGCCATTGCACCCTCTAAGTATCATTGTATGATGAAAGTTCAAGGCTTATCACATCATAGTCAACTCAAGTGCAGTTTGCCCAATTCAGGACCTTCAGGTGATCATGGCTAATTTCCTTTATATTTTCGATTTTTAAAGCATATAGATAGAGAAACATGATATATTATCAAGCATGGAAACTTAAGATGGTTACTGAAAAGCTTTGTAGCTCACAAAGTTCAATAATTTTGAACCTGAGATTATTGTTGGAACTTCATAAAGAATGTTTTGTAGAATCGCCTTCATTCTTTTCATTAGAAACACAAGTAATGGTAGGCACTTTATAGATGAACTATATGTAAGATTTCTTAGTAGAAATCTTTGTACTAATCACTACTAAAAAATTTATAGGTCGGATGGAGATTCCGATTAACCCATCCACAAGTGAGTATTATCTCGATTTAGTTTGGAATTTGGATTCAGTTCTTTGGAATTTAATCTATACGTAGTCATGTGAACTCGGCTGATAGTTTTGCACCTTTGAATCTTATAAGACAAATAATGTGAAGTATTTTGAGTATATATCAGATGATGATTGTTTAATCATGTAATAGTTGTTATGATGTGATTAGAACTTAAGATATAACCTTTTGGAGGGTCGAAAGAAGACCAAAAAGTGTTGTTCTTGTTTCTTAACCGTGGGGTTTTCGGCTTTGTGTAAGTAAGCTAAAGAGTGGCCGAAATCAATGTTTGGGAGCATCTTTTGCTGGCATAACATCACTTTTACTTCTTTTCTTATTCTTTTGTTCTTTCTAAATTCGTTCTTCCTTTTCTTTTTAATTTATTCACTATTTTTTTAAGAGACCCATCTTAGAAGATTAGCAATTATCTTCGGGACAACGACCCAAGTTCATTGCTAACAGATATTAACATCTCAAGTTTACTGCTAATAGATATTATCTGCTTTGTCTTGTTGCCCTTATGGTTTTAAAAAACATATTGGGCTCAGCCCGCCGTTAACAGACATGAGGTTTCCACACCCCCCCCTTTGGGAGTTCCGGCATCATCATTGGTTCACCACTTGGTATCTAATTTTGATATCATTTATAATGGCCCAAACTCACTCCTAATTGATATTATCCACTTTTGTCCATTACGTATTGCCGTCAGCCTCATAGTTTTAAAACACGTCTTTTAGGGAGAAGCTTCAACATTCTTATAAGAAATGTTTCGTTCCCCTCTCCAATCGATGCGGGATTTCACAACATGACTTTGAAAAGTTTAAACTTCTCATTTCTACTATATATATCATTTTTTTTTGTTTGAAAACATACTCTAATATCATGTTAAATTACTTTAAACCAGATGGTCTTTAAACCGGATAGTGTAATGCATAAAGTAGAATGTAAACCGTGCTCTACGCATATTTTTACCTTGACCTTACATATAAGAGAATAACGTTCCAAATTTTGATAATACACCGATCGTTTCTCATATAATGAAAAATATTAAGAATATATTTTTTTGAAAAATAATTAACATGTCATGTTCCATTAGCTTAGTTTTAGAAGTAATTTAATAACATATTCAAGTGTACCCAATTATACCAAATCCTACATCTCCATGCAAGAAATTCCATTGAAGATCAGCTAGGCTTCAAGGCTTGGAACTACAATATTATTATCTTTCTAAACCTAATCTATTCTAATCAACGTGTCTCCATGCTTTTTCTTTCTTTATTCCATTTCTCGAACCATCTTTTTGTAATCAAAGAAAGCTCTTTTCGAGTTCGTGCATAAAATTGCATAAAATTATTGGGGAAGTTCTTTTTTTTTCTTCTTCTTCTTACCTTATAACAGTTCAAGCTCATTATTAACAAATATTGTCTATTTTGACTTGTTACTTATCATCACTTATCGTCGTGAGCCTCACAATTTTGGAACGTGTTTGGTAGGGAGATGTTTCCACACCTTTATAAGGAATATTTCGTTTTCTTTTCCATCCGATATGGGATCTCACAATCCACCCTCTTTGGAATCCCAGCGTCCTCGTTGGTACACCTTATGGTATCTAACTCTAATACCATTTGTAACAATCCAAATCTATCGATAGCAGATATTGTCCGCTT